TAAACGTAGTTTACAGTACGCCAAACAAAACAAACTACATGTCTGGCCTAACTTAGAATTAAGCTGACTTGGCGAGATACACCTGAAACTGGTTGGTGTAAATTGATCCGTGTTTCATTAATCCAGCTGATAAACTAGGGAATTGTTCATTACATACATAATTGGCACGGCAACTTACGGCTGGTGTTCAATAATCCGCTCCCCGTTCAGCAGAGCAACCGTAACACGAGACACGTCTATGTATAGAAAGCTTACAGGTCACAACCAAAGGCCATTGCATGAGACAGCGCATTTTCATGTCTACCCGCGTGTTTAGATTTGTTTGTTTGTTGTTTAACACCGCACTCAGCAATAGTCCAGCTATATGACGACGGTCTGTTAATAGTCGAGTCTGGACCAGACAATCCAGTTATAGACATCTTGAGCATCGATCCACGCAATTGGGATACGATGACATGCATCAACAAAGTCAGCGAGCCTGACCACCTGATCCCGTTAGTCGCCTCTTACGACAAGCATAGTCGCCTTTTACGGCAAGCATGGTTCCTGAAGATCTATTCTACCCCGGATCTTCACGGGTCTCGAGTTCAGAATAAAGGTTGGAAATATTGGCTTCATGCCCATAGGCGATAACACCTATGGAATAGGATATCGGCATGTGCAACTGTGTCTTTATATGCCACATGTTTGGAATTTATGCTAATAAAAGGATTTCCATATATTTTTAATGGTGCTTAAACATAACTGAATGAATGTATTTTATACAGGTTTGAAATTTAGGCATATAAAAAAGACCATGGCTCAACTGTTTCCGTTGGGTTTGAAAGTGATGCAATTCACAGTGTTGTTTACTCATATTTCAGACGTCATGACATGGCATTGGGAATGTTTGTCCGTCATATAACATATATCATGAGTGCCCCGTGTTTGAAATATATTGGACAAACTTTAATTTTATTGAGATTGTTTATGTATTTTTGTATTTTTTGTTGATTTTTAAAAAAAATAATTTTTGTAATGTATTTTGTAACCAGATAATGCGCCTATTTCAGGAAAAATAACCAAACCCCGGGGAAAAACTATAAAACAAAATCCCAAATAGTATTTATTATTTTAAAAAACACGTTTAGATTTTTTACATTTTCTGCTCAAATATTGTTTATTTGAGTCAATGATTAAGCGGTCCGACAAAAATATTTACGATAACGTTAGAAAATAATTTAACCTCTAACTACAAATCACGAGAAACAAGGAATTTAAAACTTCATCCCCGTGTTATCTTATATTGACGTTGTTTATGTTATTTCTGGTGGTGGTGGTAGTAGTAGTAGCGGTGGTGGTGGCGGCAGTGGCGGCGGTGGTGGTGGTGGTGGTGGTGGTAGTTGTGGTGGTAGTGGAAGTAGTAGTGGTGTTGGTAGGGGAAGTTTTGTTTGTTATTTAACGCCACTCTCAGCACTACTCCGGCTACGTGACGGTGAAGATCCGGGGTAGAATAGGTCTTCAGCAACAAATGCTTGCTGTAAGAGGCGACTAAAAGGATGGGGTGGAAAGGCTCGCTGACTTGATTGATGCATGTCATCGTTTCCCAATTGCGTGGATCGACACCAATCACTGGATTGTCTGGTCCAGACTCGATTATTTACAGACCGCCGTCATAAAGCTGGACTATTGCACAAACGAACAAACGACTAATTAACGCTCCGTATAACAGACTTGAAACCTTGCTTTCTTGTAATTAATTGAATGCATCAGCTAATTACACATTGGTCCAATTATGTCAAGGCAGATATGTAATTCTCATTACATGTAATGAGCTATTGTTACACTAGGTTTATTGAGAGTGAAAGGACACTAACTTTGGTCTTGACCGCAGATTTAATCTCAGCTTAGCTTGGTCAAACGTTGTTTTCTTTTTCTTTGTTGTTGTTTAACGCTGCACACAGCAATATTCCAGCTATATGACGACGGTCTGTAATTAATCGAGTCGGGACCAGACAATCCAGTGATTGATATCATGAGCATCGACCCACGCAATTGGGATACGATGATATGCATCAACCAAGTCAATGAGTCGGACCACCCAATCCTGTTGTCTTTCTCCTCTTACGACAAGCATAGTCGCCTTTTACGGCAAGCATTGGTTGCTGAAGACCTATTCTATCTCGAATCTTCACGGGTGAGACACAGTCTACAGCTGACGTGTTTGAGTGAGGTGGGTTTAACACCGCTTTGAACAGCATCCATCTATGTTGTGATGTGCGGAGGAAAACACAAAGAGATTCTCCGATGTTAACCACCGTGTGAAACTCATGAATATGGGTATGACCTGGGTTTGAACTCGAGGTGATAGATTTCTGGCACACCCAAGGGACGCAACTCTGCACAGCGAACTGAGAACCTCAGACGAGATCTCGAGGACCCTGACCCCTTACAACCGATGACTTTCCTACCTGTACGATGAAAATTTTTTGTGTATGCAAA